GAAGACCCCCGCCATTGGCCAGTGCGAGGTACAGTGGGAGTTTTAAGGTGATAAGAACTTGGAAGCCGGAAACTGGGAGATAAGCAAGAACAGTGCCATGAAACCATATGCCAGAGGGTGATTTGTTGATGCCAAGACTGCCTGTCTAATCTTGAAATTGATATCAATCCGTTTACTCGCGTCCTCGCTTACTCGATCTTGCCACTAATGGATTGAGCACCGTGCTTATGGCCGTGGGGAAACCCACGCGGACCCTGCATAGTGCATACCAGGACCTACTACGGACGGAGTATGTACTCGTAAGTACAGTAAGGTTCTACCCGCAGACATCCATAAGAGGATTCCACGAAGGGAGAATGGGTGATTAGCAACGATACTATAAGCCATTGAATAGGCAATTCCGCCCTTGGCGTTGCTTTCCCACTTTCCATTCTCCGCGACATCTCTTCTTCGCGAAGCCTTTCTTTCCCACGAGGCATTCACATCTCGCGACATGCCCGCCTAGTTTGTTGTGCTTGGCTGGTAGGACTATATATGGTGTAGGTTGTGAAGATCAAGATATCCCCTTGCCCTCTGCATATTCCTGTTGAACCATGAGTAGTGAATCTATCGTGAGCTGGTATTGTTCACTGGTTCTTCGTAGTATAGAATGTGAAGTTCCGGCGCGAATCAGGTTTAGGGCTTCATTTGGCCTAGCGAAATTTCTGGGGGGATGGAAGGCTGCAGATGCACAAATCTGGCACTGTCTGTACCGCTATTTCCCGACTATCCTTCACCTCTTTCACCACAGCGATGAAGATATCAGTCGCATCGATAATGTGCTGAAACTAGCTACATCTCTACATCGTCAGTACTGTAGGGGGGGAGGGAAGGCCCGCTGGAAGGATTCAAGAAGTGAGAACCGTGGATACAGGGGAAGGGATGAAAAATGGCTTTCTCAAGTACCTATGACTGATGACTTGTGATCACCGAAATTGAGCTTGAAAAGGTGTCCTTTTTGCACTATATTCGATTTTCCTTGGTGGGGAGGTCCGAAGGGTCCAGTACCTAACAAGCCTCTCTGCTCGCTGTGCATGCGGCAATAGGCAACGTTCTACACAGCTCTGGGCACGGTGAGCTGATCAAAACGACCCTGAAGCACTTCAGAGATAGTATCGGCGCTCTCACTAAGGACGGGAGCACTGACCTAGAAGAGTTGTTGTCTGTCACTGAGGTGGTCCGTCGTCACTGGCTATCAATCCAAGCCATCGTTCCCGTCGCCATCTCGGTTAAGGAAGCATTCTCGAATTAATTGTTGAGTCCAGGCTCTCTGGTGCGGGAAATCTTAGTGTTACGGGTCGGTGCCCTGCCCTGTCCCTTGATCTTGATCGGAGTCTCGGGGCTGTTGCCTTGCAGCTGCAGGCCGCTGATTGGCCACGCTGATGTACTCTATGAGGCATCTGATAATTATTGCCCCCAGGATCATAAAACATGATAATATCCATGGATGATAGTGGTCATTGTTAGGTTGAGATTGTTAATGACCGCTTTCTGGTGACACTTGGAAAGGAATCACTCACCTGTGGATCGACAGCATCCCATTCGACCAGCTATTTTGACTAGCCCTACACTCATGTTTATCACAACTAAAGATGATTGTTGGCATATCAAACCCACCTCATGTTATCAACACAAGCTCGTTCGTACTCCGTAGGAGAACCCGAACCGATCAGGGGTAAAAATGAAGACGGCGCAATCGAGGAAAAGGTGGCATGACACGCGATCAGCACTAACCCCAAAGCTACCCAACCAGCCAGATATACACCATCCCAATGCCCCCCCCTGGACAAGCCAACCCAACATGAACACCACCGCGATCCAAATCACCATCACCAACATGGCCGACGATCACACCCCCAACACGACAATCTACCAAGACGCACACCTAACCGTCGACCTCACCCTCCGCCCCACCACCCCAGGCCACGCCGTCGCAACCCTCACCACGAACCAAACCAACCTGTTCAACCTCCCCCTACCCAGTTTCGTTGAAACCCTCCAAACGCTCCGCACGATCGCCTCCCACCTCCGCACGGCATACAATGTCCAACGCTGCGCGCTGATCACGACGGGGGGGACGAGCCTCTCGCTCCTGCCGCTCCACGGCCTCACCCCGCAATGGAGCCCAGTCATGCACCCCACCCAGGAATTCCACCCGCAGTACCCGGGGTACATCACGTCGAAAGACGCGCCGCAGCTGCCGACGCCGCAGCTGAACACCATCCGCAGCTCCATCCTCTTCGCCGCCTCCCAGTCCCCGACGACCTACCACGCGGACCCCACCTTCCACGGCCCGGACCCGGGCGACGCCAACCTCTTCGCGCGCCTCGTGCGCGGGGAGCTCTCGCCGCAGTGGCGCGTCTGGGAGGACGCGCGCCACGTCGCCTTCCTGACGCCGTACCCCAACACCCCCGGGTTCACGGTGGTGGTGCCGCGCGCGCACCTGCCGAGCGACCTCTTCGCGCTGGCGCCGGCGGAGTATGCCGCGCTGGTGGAGGCGGCGCACACGGTGGCGAGGCTGCTGATCCGGGCGTTTGGCATCGAGCGCTGCGGGATGATCTTCGAGGGGTTCGAGATCGACTACGCCCATGTCAAGCTGGTGCCTATCCGCGGCGGCGGCGGCGATGACTACGATGAGGCCGACTTCGACCGCTACGGCATCAGTGAGCCCTTCCAGGAGACCTACCAGGGGTATGTCTCCTCCTTGCCGGGGCCGCGGGTGGCAGATGTCGAGGAGGTGGTGAGGAGGGCGGCAGAGATGAGGGCGTTGGTCGGTTCGGATTCTTAGCTTTTGCGCTGGGGTGGGACGGGGACCGGTCATCTAGACCTTGATTACTTTCAAAAGATGTTATAATACATGAACCCATCTTTCTGTACGTTTGCCTCCGTCGTGCTTTTCTCGCTATGAACGTTTTCGCCTCGCCTCCCTCTCTCAGAGAGACTGCTATGGCAAGGGCAGACAGCGATTGAGGGTTCAAGACGCGGGGACTGGAAGAGCTCCAGCCCAAAATGTGTATGCACCAGCTCATATGTGAAGCCGTGAGTCGCCTAGAACAGAACAACGCTTCATCTGCTTGCAGGGACACTGGACTGGCCGATGATTTATGAGCTTGATATAAGCCTGTTATACCAACAACTTCTCACACTTTTGATAATACAAAGTATCGGAAACTTGAGATAGCTCTAAAGGTATGATACCATGAATATCTGAAGGTAGAAATCAAGTACTGCATGCGCTACCAGTATACTATATCCTCCGCAGCCTATCGGGTTCTCATAAAGCTGCCTGGAAGACACTGGTGTATGTGGACCGATTAGTCACTCGGTTCCTCACATTCGTGGAGCATCATAACCTTCGCTAGCCTATACAGCATGGCTCTCAACCTCTGTCGCCTTACTTCTTCTCCTGTTTTGTCCTTTGCTTCGCTAACCAAATCTATCCCCACAGCTTCACTGTCCTCGAATCCCAGAAGCTTCCCTAATCTGCTCTTTGTAAGCAAGGTCTAAAGTCTGCTTCTGGTAGTTTGCCCACTCTTTCCCCGTTCGGGGTCGATGGAATCAGTCCTTTGGCTGAATACGCCGCTGGGGACAGTAGCCATTTGGTCGGAACTCGTTTTCATTGATAAGCACTAAAATTACACATATGCAGTTCATTCCAATTCTCTCTTTCTCTTTCTCCCTTCAGAGATTCTCCTCTGCTTGTTCGAGCATGTCCATTTCCATCCTATGCGGCAGATAGGTATGAATCCGGGCAAAATACAAAAGCGCGCTGGGTCAAAATGCGTGTGTTGCGAAAAGATGTCTCCATCACCGGCGCACGCAGAAAATAACGGGTAAAGGGGGGACACCAGGGGGTATATGATTTCGAAGGTGGTAAATGATGCGACGATCTGATTCTCTCGGTCGGAGGTCGGCCCAAGCCAGCCACGCCGCGGGGCTGAATGGAATTCACTGATGGATAGCGTGCTGCGTATCAGAAAATCCAGGCTGAAGAGTGTCTAGCGGTGGACCGATGGCGTTTGGGCGCTGATTTACGAGGAGAACTTGCGGGTGATCTTGGCGATGACTAGAAGGCAGAAAGCTATCAGTGGGACTCTTCGAGTCGATGCTTGAGAGTTGGGTGAGACGTACCGTGCAGACCAACGACAGAGAAGATGAATCCCAGACTGAGAACCAGGACGACGACGGGGTCGACCCTCAAGCCGGGGCTCTCGTCGGTGTAGAGCTTCAGCATCGTGCCAGAAGAACCGCCGGCACCGGCAGCGCGGGTCGAGCTGGGCCGCGCATTGCGGAGGGACTCCTTGTGGTCAGCGGCCGCGCGGCGACGCAAAGCAGCCCGGGGACCACCAGGAGGAGTAGGGGAGGAAGGACGGTTGACGGAGGAGACGGCAGAGGCACCGGAGCCAGCGCCGGCAGACTTGGAGTCAGGGCCGGACTCGGCCCCGGAGGTCAGGGGAGAAGCAGCACGAGGAGAAGCCTATAGCACTGTGGTCAGTTCCAATTCAATGCTGAAGTGAATGGCGGCGGTCGGCTTTGGGGGGGTCATCCAGCTTGCGCAAAGGACATTCGAGGTGCGCGCTCAGACAACCGACAGGAACAACCAACAGGATGAGGGCACTGACCATTATGAAAGTGGAATCAGAAAAGGGCTAAAGAGCAAAGAAAACAAATACAGTATTAAAGTCGATGAATGAAGAGATAGATGGGTCAATTGGCCGATGGAACAAGGAAGGGAGTCGGCTGGGGAGAAGAAGGACGAGGTGGATGGTAGAAGGTCGGGGGAGGTGAAGGTGAGGTGCGGGTTGCCAGAAAGAGGCCACGCTCACGTTTCCATTTGGCGGGTTACCGTCACATACAATTCTGCCGAGCCGCAATCGATTGCGAGAAAGCGGCCAAGCAGTTCACCTACATTCAACAGCACAAGATTGTATAACAAAAGCTCCCGACTTTTGATAACTACCTCCAATGTGGTGTAGCGGTTTAGCATATCTGTCTTTCACACAGAAGATCGGGGTTCGATTCCCCGCATTGGAGAATTAATCTTTTTTTCCCCTTTTAAGGGGCCCGTTATTGGTCATATACTCCTCATAATGACCCTAAACCACCAACCACCTTCCAGTCACGCTCTTCCACTGGCATCAATGGCATCAAAGCCACTGACCTGATCTGCTGCACCCCCTCTTCGTCTTCGACCCCGCTTTCATGTGGATAGGATACAGGCATCACGGTGACACATCGGAGTCGCGGCAGGGACGTGGTGGTAAGTCACTGTAATCAAGCAGGAGATTTATATCAAAAAGTATACATTGTTAGAAATAAACCAAGGAACCGATTTTAGAACATAAAGTTATCATATTACACCTTCTGCCATACAACTCCCCAATTAATTGGTGTTGATGCACCCAAAGGCCTTGAAGGCTTCCTAGATATTACTTAGAGGTTAGTATCACGTTTACAATTACAGCAGTGGGCTTTTTAGGAATAACTGACGCTTCTAGAGGTATTTTGGGGCACTGTAACAGTATATTGCAATATTTCTAATACTTGTTAGCCAAAAGTCTCTGGTCAGGGCGATTTAAGGAGCAAATTAATACAGCACTTACCTATATCGAGGCTTTAAGTGACTCTGGGGGTAGCTGATTGTTTTTGCACTAGCAAAAGTACTTGAAAGATATTCCAATCTCATCCTTGCAGTTGATGTTCTGCGGTATTGGATTTGCGCTGCCGATCAAAGTCGTCGTACTTGTACAGTGTCCATTGATCGGTAAGAAGAAATTCTACTTACAGCCTACTGCCTGAGAATGCAGGTAGTTGTTTGCTGTTTTAAACTAACTAGAAACTACCAAATAGATAGTGAATAGAGTAGTGAGGGAGTTTACATCGTTGCCTGGAGGTTGTATAGTGAATGTGTTACTCCCACCCTCCTCTTCTATTCCCCAACTTGAAAATCTCTTCATCTTCCATCTTTCTTCTCCCATCTTCCATCTTCCTTATACCATTCTCTCCCTATATTCTATCGGCTTTATCTCCCTCCTTACCAACCAAGTCAGGTACATATCTCTCTCCTACTCAAGATCTTCAGCAACATGGCGTCTTCTCCCACTCTAGGGGAGGCGGCCAACATCGACCAGTCTCAGTAAGTAGAACTTCAGCTCCCTTTGACGCGTTTCTTTTAACAGAGTTTGTGTTTTTGAATGCTAATAAGTTTTGATTTATACTTCAAAGAGACCGCCCCTATTCTACAAGCAGCGCTGAAAACAAAACATCCAACCTACCAACTGGAGCAGCTCATTTGGTGAGGTCAGATCTTCTGCTTCGCATGCAGCAATCTATCATCTCTGTGGTGCAGAACAAGGTATCATGCTTTGTACAAGGCGGGTCCGCTACCGGCCGAACAACTGGTGCTCTGTTGTCTGTCATTTTCTTCCCGCCGGAGAAAAAGACCATCTTCATAGCAGAAACCAGAGAGGCGGCAGAGCAGGCCACACAGATAGCACTAACGATCAAAAATACCTACAAGGATCGCCTTCATGTGTCGTCTCTTCTTAGAGCTTGCAGCTCATCTACTACAATCTCGGGTAGTAACATCGCCAGGCTCATTGTGACTACCCCTGGCAAACTTGTCGCAGCCCTCCGCGACCGTACAATCGTTCCAGAGGAAGTGGGCTTTGTTATCATAGATGGGGGGCACACCCTGCTCGATCCTCAAACGGGAAGTGGTGACCACTGCCGAATGGCTCTCGAAAGACTTTCTATTGGAGTGCCAACTTTGTTGGTTATCTCCAATGCCGATGTCCCCATCCCCGATTATGTTAAGGCATGGCAGCCTGAATTTATCAGGGTTGAGATGAAACCCCTAACCCGGAGGGGCAATGTCAATCATGTGCACTCCTCAATCTTGACTAGAAACAACGATATTGTGAAGCTTGTAGAAGAGGCCGGCCCAGGTAAGTCTGACTGTCCTTTGCCTTAAATGTCTACGTATATACTAACTTATATAGTCTTGACTCTCGTGATTGCGGGAAGCATTCCGAAAGCCGAGGAACTACAACGTGTTCTTGGCAGTGAAAGGTTCACCCTGGTGCACTCGAGGTTGCCCGATGAGCTTAGATGGTCGAGGACTCTACAGTTTATCCAGCAGGAAATTTCACTTATCGGTTGCCGGATTCCGCCCTCTGGCCTTCAACTTGCGGACGTGAAACTTGTTGTTTTCGCGGAGCCGCCAACCAGATGGGCATGCCTGGCCGATCTTCTGCGGAAGTTTGATAACGATGGAAATCTCCTGATCTGTTATGATCCCGAGGATACTGCTGAGTCGGAGAGAATGGAGGGCATATATACCCACTTCAAAAACGCCAGGAACGGACATATGCCCAGCAGTCTTTCTGTATCCCCCGCCTTGAAACCAACTCGAAGACTTCAGGTGGGTAGCGTCCCAAAGGCTTCCAAAGAGGAGGTCGCTCAGTGGTTCCCTCCCGAGGACAGAATTTTCCATGACAGTGGGGTTGGGACAGGATACAGGCATTTTGATTTTGAAACCGTCGCATTAGCCGAGCAGTTCATGGCCAAGTACCAATACTTTCGACTTCCGGGTGAGGACATGTACTCGCTCCATCTTACTTATGTTGAAGCGCCCAAGCCCAAGAATCGTGCTCAACGTCAGAGATCCGCCTTCTCGTCGCAGTCGGGTTCTGGCCAAACTCGAGAGGCAAGGAACCAGTCGAAGTGGTCGTCGCAGTCGGGTTCCGGCCAAACTCGAGAAGCAAGGAACCAGTCGAAGTGGTGAATCCTTTCTCTTTTTCTCTTTTTCTTTTCTTTCTTTATGTGTCTTTCGTTACAAATGCCCAAACGAAGACTTTGGGTCCATAATAATGTTCTTGCTTTAATTAGTAATCAAACCAAGTAATGATTTTACCAATATTCCTTTTAGATGTAAGATCTATTTTAACTATTTCTAAGTCTTGTAAATGTCTGTGATTGCCATCCTATCCTAAGATCTTTGACCAATGGCAAACTGTCTCCCCGAATAAGATATAACTGGGAGGTGGAAATAAGGACTGGAAATCTTAGGTGGCTTGACTGTTTTACTATGCATACTGGGAATCAGATCTGGTCTGTTGCCTAGGGTCACAACATCACGTGTACTTATAGGGACCTTATGTTCCCTTTATTCTTAAGTCTTGCTTAAGGATTGAGCGCTATTCAGAGTCGGAGAGATAACTTGGATGGGATTAAGGCTAGAGGTACTATCTACTGCACTTTAATATGCCTTGCTCCAATATGTTGCCAATATGTTTCTTAAGTTGCAGTATATATACTCTCCGCCGACACAAGAAGGGATTGTAATTGATAAACAAATGTTGAAAGCTTCTTATTATATTAAAGTATAAATGTAACAAGGCCTTAAGAATATACAAGGCGGGCTGTGGTTACTGGTTTGCACGGATTATATATAAGCATTTAGCAGGGCTTGTGACGGGGTCGAGGAATTCTATTGCTTCCAATAGCCTGCTGCAAGTCCTCAGTGGTTTATTAGTCTAAGTATCTTAAGTACAGATAGATAGAAGAATTCTGCTGAAGATGTGCTTGCCTTTCAAGCCGACCGCTTGTTAACTATGCCTCAACAAGACGAACCGAGCCAAGTTGTTTTATCCGTGGCAGTTAGGGAAGAGTATAGGCGAGAGAAATAGGCATTCTAAAATAATTATGGTTTTGAATATGACTGCTACCACACTGATGCTGGCAAAGCTGCCGTCTGAGATGTGTGGTGTCTAGCTGCGTTTAATATGCTGAACACGGGTTGGAGCATTTCTACCGGTTGACATACAATGGCACTGGTTGCTTGGCACAAGGATTGTTAGCTGGCTGTATATATTCTTAATACAAGAGCTGGCTCGATACGCGCTCACCAATGCTCATAATCTCTAGGCAACAGAAGAGGGATGCTTTCTGTATATGAATTCTAGGAAGCGATAATGCGCCAAGCCGAGTTTCATATGCCTGGGCTCTTGCTCAGTTGTGTAAGCCAGGTGTGTGCTAGGGGTAATAGGAGCTGAGCCCGTCCCGCCAAAAAAGTCATCTTCCATCTCCCCTTTGCTGTGCTGACTTTCATGGTTTGTACAGTACATGCCCCATGGTGCTTGACTATCTACAGAGACTAGGTGGGCTCAGCGGTGCTCATTTGAATCATTATTTCAATAATAGACAGTATAAGGGAGTACTTGAAGGACTGCGGCAGAGATTATATATATTATAGTTCAATTCAGACTATCCCCATACGACTTCTTATGAAGACCGAGAGAAGTACGCACCCGATCTTATGTTTCCATCCACGCAACCAACATATCCGGAGCGCAGTGTGAGACGTGATAGTGTAATTCTGGATCACATCATAATGCTCCAGTTTTCGTTTATTCGACATGGCGTGCAATATGACGGGGGGCGAAGGTAACTAAATAACTTGACATGGTTAATAAAGTCGGCGATCGTGCGGGTTGACGGGCAGTCATGAGATGGTTGGAATTGTCACAGAAACATAATTGAGATAGGAAGCCAGAATGCCATACGTACTGCGTTCATATATCCAACATAGAGATGCAGAGTCCCAATAACAGGCTCGTACGGCAATGTCATCGCCGAATTTAAGGGAAGAGGCATGGTCATTGTGCTATGATTGTATGGAAAGGTCGGGATTGCAGGGAGAGATAGTCTCCCAAGTCCTTCGTACTGATTTCCCACTTAGGTGGACTAAGTTCTGTTGCTAGGGACCCCCGCTGGACCTCTGAGAAACACTTCCTAATATAGAATGAACACCGTTCCCCCCAACATTGGCACCTTCTTATCCCTCAACATCCCATTCCTAGGAAGATTCTCCTCTTCTCTACCACACTCATGAGCTATCTATATAGTCTCACAGTCATGCCTCATCCCCCTCCTCGCCAACCGAATCATCACGTTCTCTAATCACTTTCTATATATCTCACGAACCCGGCTCGCCAAATCTCCTTGTCGGCGGATTCTTCACTTTCTTTTAT